ACATACGAATGAAACTAACTTTCACACTGCTCTAAAAACTGTAAGCATTCACTGATGACCGAGTCACGAATGCTGATTATATACTTTGCAATATTCTCTATAGTTGATATAATACACCTCTTACAGTAATACCACGTATCTGTACCCAATTTCTTATCGTACGGTTCCATTGCTTTGATCACTCGTGATATACCAAATTCATAATTACCCTTCAATTTTCTTGCGTTACCAGTTCATTTATCCAATCACTAACTGTGCTATAATACTTACTCAACTAGGGTTGCTTGCACCCTCAATAAAGAAACCCTCAGTAAAACAATCTGATAAACCGATTGATGAATAAATTGCCCCATAGATATAATCAATGATAAATTAAATCCTAAGGATGAAATGTATTATAGAAAAGCAAATAAGATCTGGTTGAATGAAAGAAAGAAAAGACGATTGAAGAAATAAATGAACAACAAACAAAAAAATGAAATAACAAATAAACGAGTCAACAAACTTTCGAGCAATACAACGTTCCAATGACAAGATTTATGATACAAAGATGAAAAGTTTTCTTCTTTTCAGATTCATTGTATTGTGTATCCTCTTCATTTTCCACTTTTTTCATCAATTCTTCAGCCTCAAATTCAATTAATTTCTATATTATTTGTTATAAAAATAAACATTTTACATAATAATAAATGAAAAAATATACATAAGTATAGATGAGCAATGACCTCTTCATTTTGATTTGTCATTATGTAACAAACGCACAAATTTGCTAGCACAATCGCACTTATTTCGAGCATCTGTAAAGCATTTTTAAAATGTTTTATCATTTATAAGACTTAAATGATTTGTTCTCAATTTGATTGGATTCAGAATAGATGCAATTTACAACATTTTATATTCGAAAACCAAAATTCAATTCATTCTTCCCAAAAATTTCGCAACGAGAAACATTTGGCGTTCAATAAAAACTAAATCCAGAGGGTTGATCAAATCGAATCGTACATTATCAAAATTTTTCTTCACAATCGGTTCGTAGAAAGCAGCTGCTTCCTTGAATTTGTTCTCCTGAAAAAAGCATTCATAATGTGCCGAAAGATCACAGTTCTGTTATGGTTCATTCAAGCCTTACCATATCAACGCTCGAGATATTTGATATTATTAATAAGCGTATGAATAACTGATTTCCTAGTTTTTGAAGAACGGTTTAACGAGACTTGAAAGAGTTATCATTACTCTTACATTCAAGATTTCCGTTATCCCCGTTGTTCCATCACCCCTAAAGGATAAAAGTCGATTCCGGCAACCCCGTGCAATATAAAACGCTTTTCGTTTTAACTGCTTCTGTCGTTGATTTTCTCATAGATCAGTTGAGACCACTCGATTATACGTCTGTGATCATATCCTTTTCGGTTACTTAGTGTTCAGTTATTCGCTCAAGGTTGTCACTAACAATAAGGCTCAACCAAACTCGAACGTAAGCTCGATTTTGAAATCACGCACAATCGAATGTGATCAGTGATCAGAAGTGAGCAATGATCAGCAATGTGATCAGAAATCGCACGTTATCATGAGTGAGTCGTGTCCTTATTGCACCACAGATCATTTTCTTATCTCAAAA